GTCCCCTGGCAACTGGGGGCGAGGGAAAGGGAGGGAGGGGATGGAAGGGGAGACAACAGCAGTTCTCTGGTTTTAATCCAATACTGAAGGTCCACTGAAATCCACGGGAACCTGAGCAGCAACAGTATAGTGAATGGAAATCAGGGCGTACAGAGCAGAGAACAGGGAAAACAAAGAAAAGGAAATTAAATTAAAGTAGAAAACTGGTAGCTTTTCCCCAAAAGATCACTGTATCTATAATAAAAAACCCTGTAAGGTGTCTCAGCATCTCATTAAGCTGACTTCTCCATGCAAATCAGTACTGAAGTGAAAATTTGTAAGAAACTTGAATATTTAGAGGAAAAAATGGTCAACAAGTCACTCCCCCTATTAAGATCTGGACTGTATTACGAACAAAGTTTGAAAGCAGTTTCCTGGTGATTATTCTCTACTGAATGTGGTCATTGCTGCCCAAACAACAACAGGAAATTTGAAATAGTTCTGCTGAAAAATGAAATGCAATAGTAATAACAATATTATTACTTTGGAGTACTTCACATATATGATGTACTCCACAAACATTAATTTTTCCTAATCAGCTCCATGAATCAGGTATGTATTATTAATAGCACCATTATGCAACTGCTGCAGATTCCCGTTATTTCTTCTGCTCACTTCTCTCATTCCTTTTTTCTCTTTCGCATGCAGAGCACATCCCTCTGATTCGTTTGCATTCCTCCTTTTCTCCTCACCCACCTGCTCTGGCACCCCTACCCTCTGTTTCCAGTGGTAACCATTTTAAGGCAGACAGGGGTGTTTTATGCCCTTAGGTAGCCTGAACAATTTGAGCAGGTTCATCCTATTTACCTGTATCACTTACACCTGATACTTTAAGCTGCAAATTTTTTTGCTGGATAGACTGAGAGCCTGTATAGCAACGCCCACCAGAAACATGCAGTCATCTGACAACAATGAAAAACACAGCTCATGGTATCTGCACCAGCACAGGCACCTGCTTCACCACCAGCCACTTCTTCTGGAAAAGGACAAATGTCTAATTTTTAAGCACTGGAGCTGAGCAATAAAGCAATAGTCATATAGTGGCCCTACAATGACAGAACAAATCTGCTACAGCAAATGGTGGTCTAGCCTTCATCTAGTTTTATAAGTAATTCATCATAGATAATAAAATTTGTAATTTCTATCTAAAACTTGGAAGTCTTCATCAATTTTTACACGAGTTCATCAGTATCACCTGGTATGATAGTATTCACATACAATGCAAGTACTAACACAAGGGAAATTTTCACTCGCATACACACGCAATATTGCAAATGTAATCAAACACATTAGTTCCTTCTTTGCTGACTTAGACTATAACTCATCAATAACTGCAGAATATCGCAGGGCAAACACTAAGTTAACAGGACTATTTCCTCTGAGGCAGCACATTTCAGAGCTGTTTTTTAAAATGCTAAGCTAGATCTATTCATCAAAATTGTTTTCTTTAGGTGGAAACCAGTATTACAAGAAAAAAGATTACTTGCTTACCTCCCTGGCAAAAAGCATACAAACAGAAAAGATGAGACAAATACCTTTACTGAATGGCACAGACCTGAGAAAACAAGCATTCAAAAATCAACCGCCAACATAACCATGCTAGATTTGGTATTTCCTTAAGCATCTGACACGCGAAAAGATCTGAGGTATTAGGTAAAAATACTAACAAGGAATCAATATCCAACAAGACCTGTCTTCCAGCCTCATTTTAATTAACAGGTGTTAAAAATTTTTATTAAAAAGGTTAGGTATTATTGTTTTTCTTTCCAAAGGTATATAAAACTATCTTCTAATTATCTGGATAGAAATGAAGCAGAAAACTGAGTTAGAAACTTTATGCCTCCTATCCACAGTCAATAAAATCTCTAGACAAATCCCCTTTCCCAGTAAAATTCAGCATCAGCTGGTTTATAAAATGAATTGAATCAGCAGCAACGCTTTCAGTCAAGGAGAGAAGAACACGCTGTTTTCTCTAACCCTTCCAGAACCGGGGTGCGGCAGTGCAGAGCCCCGCGCGCCCTCAGCCCGAGGGCTGCCCCGGCAGCACCGTGACCCTAACGCGAAAGCGCACAACACCCTTGTGCCAGCGGCACTGGCGCAGCAGCCAGCCCCACCCAGGGAAAGTGAATCTGAATGGATGCATGATCCTCACGGCCTAATGCACAGCAGTTTCACATATTACAGGCACACCAAGGGCTGGCATGGCACTTCAGCTGTTGTAATTCCCTTGCTGCTTAATATACGTTGGATCCTTTTATTCATCAAAACTTTGTACTCACAGATTTTTTTTATTTCCCCTCCTTTTTTACGATTACTTACGTATGTAAAACTAAGACAGACAGATTCTCCTTCACTCTTAGTCCTTTCAGAAGAGATGATGTTCAAAGTATGACAGCAAAATCAAAATCCAGATTCAGTCAAAAAGCAGAGGTCCAGCTTCTCTCCAAAGTCCCTCCCAGAGAAGAGCTTTCTGGGTCTCCTCCTCTTACTCCCAAGTGAGATACCACCACAAACAACACTGCCTTGAGCTGCCAGCATGATTTTTAAAGAGCATCCACGAAAACGCCGCCAAGAGTAAACTCAAGTTTCCGCTTATCCTGTCTCACATGGTAGTGCATAAAGAAAAAGGCTGTCAGACAAGTCTCGTACTCTGCAGTAGGGTAATAGCTCATACATTCTCCATTATCAGATCATGGAAAAATATGCAATAGGTTAAAGTACTTAATATCATAAATTAAGCAGGGTCAAGACCAAGTGAACACTCCAATATTCAATACAAATATATCATTCCTGTGGTATTATTTCATTACTTTGCAGCATACAACAATACACTTGCAAGGTTTACGTTCCCATTTCTATTCTTCAATCTTTTTATGGGTTTCACAACTTTACTAAAAACACATTTGAATTTTTACTGTTGTGTCTTTGTGACAACGTACATATATTCATCCTGTAGTTCTACCAATTAGTCTAGCACCACGATTTACTGCACTGCAAATATTCAGCATCAAGATTCACACAAAGCTTGTCAGCTTCTCCTAGGAGAACGTTTGGTATAACCTGCCAGGTCCTGGTGACTTCTTGGGACCTTCTGCTAGCTTTTACAGCTTTTTGGCATTAGCAGCTCATTAACTGCTTTCTCTGAAGACAAATATGTTGAAACTCTATAATAATTTCCTCTGTCAGTATCTATTTCTGAGCTTACTGATTCTCAATTCAAAAGTTTTGAACATCTTGCAAGCTTTGATTTCTTGCCAAGGTTGTCTTATGCTTCTACATCAGATTTCTTCATACACCTTATGGTTATCTCCACCTTGCAATAGTATTCCATGATTAGTTTTGGTCTTGTTTTCCTAAAGATCCCCAATTCACACTTCTCTCTCTCCCCCCACCCCCATAATGTTGTGTTTTGGGGTTTTTTTAAGTCTTGACATTTTCAAATCATCACCTAGAAGATGGTTGAACTCCTTCTGAAACTGCCTTATTTAATCATATTTTTCCACACATTTTTATCCTAAAAACATACTGGAGAATTTAGTATGTTTAAAGAGATCAAAGTATTGATGCCTCAGTGAATGCTAGGCTCAAATTCTGAAGATATCTGCCAGATAATGTTTACAAAATATTTTAAGTTTTCTACTCTTCATTGTTTCAAACTTTTCAAAACAGTACACTCAGAGGAGCACCAGTTTCTTGGAAGTATATTTTACAGCTCCAGAAATATTCTATTTGTAGCTTTAACAAAATGCCAAATGTATACAAGTATTTACTCCTCCTCCAATTAAAAAAACAAAGCAAACCAAAAAAACCCAAACACAACATGTAGCAAGAATCAGATTTACTCAGATTAACTGGCATTGTTACCTGAAAAGTTGTACTTTGAAGAATGATTCACCTTCACAATATTAAAACTGGTTTTTTTTTAAATGGAAACCTTAAATTTCCTGATCATGCATGTGTAATAATAAATTCAACCTAACAAAAGTCCTAAGTTTAAACCAATTAATTTCTAAGTTTTAAAGATATTAAAAAAAATTGAAAATGAAGTGGTGATAAACCAAAGCTGAAAAGTTTGGTTTTAATTTCCTTTAAAAGCTTTTTGTGCAGTTCTGGCTAGAAGTTTAAGTTATTTTTAAGAAAGCACATTTGAGAAAGCCACAGGTAATTTTTTTTTTTAATGAAAGTCTGCCCTCTTGTGTAAGATTGAAGTTTAGCACAACTACTGTCAGGAACACAGAGGATCAAGATCAGTGCTACTTCTTGACTACCTAGAAAACGTGAACCTTCCAGCGCTCTTCAGAGTGTGCTGCTTTTGCTGAACGGGGAACACACAGAGCAACTACTCATAATCTAATGCCCTCTCTGCAAAAAGAATAAAAAGAAAGTACTTTCTATTCTGCTTGTTATCTTGGCCAATAAACTAAAGTCAATTTGCAAATATTTAACCGCACAGATAATTTTGGAATTATTCACTTCCATCTTTTGTACACATTCAGTAGCGACAAAAGGAAAAAAAGGTTCTTCTCTGACTCTGACAAATAAAGAAGAAAGGGAAAAACAGAAAAATCATTGGAACTTTCTGTTTTTTAACCCTTATCCCAGTTAGTATACTATAAAGGCATCTATTTCCTCAAGAAGGGAGGCCAAGCATGGAGTCTGAGTCACAAGTACTTGTGAAAGCCCACTGATGACAACAAATAGATGTCACTTAATATTGACAAGATCCTAAAGTCAAAATCACTGAAAACTACCGTGACTAGTCAGCATAAGTAATAAAAATAAATGTTTATCCAGCTGCATAAGTAGCAGCATTGTCACAGAATACATAGTGCAAGGCATTCATTGCGGATGCAGATACCTACAAATGGGCAAAGCTTTCATGCATGCTTGAAATTAAGCCTGTTTAATCCCCCAGAAAAGTTAGGCATCTCCAACGTAAGTAAGTAACAAATAACACCTACTTTCGAAGGTGTTCGTGTTCCTTCAGGAATAGTTCTGTTCTTCTGTTATTCACGCCAGACCCACTTTTATATGATCTAAAATGTATTTAAAAAAATTTGAAAAAACAAAAATTTGAAAAATATTTTTTCCAGAGGCTTTTCAGTAGACAACTGTAACTGATTTACACAGATATCAAGCTTTGTTACTTTGAAGTGACCAAACAGAAAAGTTCCAGTCATGTCAAGACAGTCTTAAAATGATTTAGCATAGCTTAATAGTTTTATTTTAAAAACACAAGTTCCTTTTCAAGCACCCAACAAAAACAAAACAGAATCTTACCACAACCTTAATAAGAGTTATGAATTCAAGTAACTTTTTTTGCATTATTCAGAGTAGAGACAAATAAGCTACGCCAAGTATTCTCCTGCAGGAGGGTTTCCACCTTCTCCCTTCGAGGACAGTCCCATACCATTGCTATAACACACAATACAACTTACTCGATATCTTTTCGTACTGATCCCAACAGATTCTCCCTTTCTCGTATTGCCAAAAAATTTGCTTTGGTTTTGTGGAATTCATGTGTATAATCCTGTAATAAAACAATTATTTCAAAGTTTGAATCCTGAGATCAGTTTAACACACAACATACTCCAGGAAGATCCAACCATCTATTAAAATGTTCACTGTTCTCCAATACAATGTGCAAGACCAACTTAGGAAATTATCATAAAAAATGCTTGGAAGTTAATGCAAAGTATTTTTAAAACTTACTGCTTTTACAGTAGTTGCTAACTTTTGATTGACCTGTCCTGAAACCAGGACAGATTGATACAGCTAATGTCATAGAGGGAAACCCACCATAATTCCTTCTCCCAGTTCCATATAACTTCACCTTTCTGATGAATTATCATTTTGTGTTGGAATTTCCCATTACTGGTTGAATCTGAAGCACTAGTAAAACCTTCTTACTTGGTGTGGTGAAGAAGTTTCTTTCGTTAAGTTACACCAGATGAAAAAGAAGTCTTTTCTGAATGATGCAGATGATATTTTTTCTTTTTCCTTTTTTTTTTTTAATCTCCCAAGTTGCAATTTTATATTTTAAAAATTTCAGGCAGCTGATACTGCTTGAAAACCAATTTAACTGGCAACTGGAGTCCACCAAAAATCATTGTAAACATTTGGCACTATTTTCCATATAAATGCTATGGCTTTTACAAAACATTAACCTTTCTACATTGTGCATTACATAGATACAAAACAGAAACCAAACTCTGTATGACCAGCCAAATAAAACATACATTTTTAACATTACTATGCCATGAAAACATCACCGGTTTGAAACATGGTTGATTTATAACACTAATTAGTAGCTTTAGCCATCAATTTCCTTCAACTCCCTTCAGCAGTTTAGATGGTTTTATAATCATATTTTCTTATCTTAAAAGTGACGTTCCCTCTCATGTTGCTATGTGACAGACCACACAGACAACATAATTCATTACAGTATCTCTCCCTCTTTGCTATATAAAAAACACCTACATAAGATCACATGCTTTACTCTTCTTTCTTAGCTAGGTGTTAGTCACCAATATGACATAAAAAAATGCTATTTTTCAACTCAGAGTTCACTGATTGGGGTGCCTGGAGAGAAGAAAAGTGAGATGGGATCGGTGGCATTTAAAGCTTCTGGTAACACATTCAAGCATGCTGTGATACCAGTACTGTTAAAAATTCTTGCAAACAAACAAACAAAATAAAAGCAAGAAGGACATGCATTTGTTACCTGCAGTATGTCTCTATGACGCTGTAACGTATGCATCAGTGCAGCATTCAGGGACGGCACTCCTGCACTATTTGTGTATTCTGACATTTTGTCATTTATTCCAGTAAGCTAGAGGAAGAAAAAAAAAAAAACACACCACAAAAACACGAAATGGCTTATTCTTGTAAGAAAGTTACAATGTCTAAGTTGAAGGAGCTAGATATAACGACAGATACATACCTTCAGAAACACTTCTATCACCCACACTAATATTTCTTAATGTTCATCACAGAAAACTGTAGTGCAGTATTTCCTAGATGCTGAACTAAAATCACAGTAACTTGAGTTACCTTTCCCAGAAGTTGTTCAATCTCCACAGCCATGGTCTCAAACATTCTGTCCTGGCTTGATCCATTTAAGAGAGGAGTTGTGTCAGAGCTAAGGAAAAAGGGAAGGAGCAGTTACTGAAAACTACATCATCTTTTCATGAATGCAAGAAATATGGAAACACTAGTGTTGGGTGTTGGCAAGCTCCACTACCCAGTTCTCCTTAGAGGGATTAATTAAGCTCAGAAAAACTACATTTTCTTACCATACATGCCTTTAACTCGTATCTGAACTAATGACACGATACCACTTGGGAAAAATATAACCTTTCCTTGAAAGATATGCCTGACACCAAACACATGTCTACTACCAGCACAGGTCTAGCACCAATACCCTTCTCTCCCCAACTTTTTAAGCTTGATTTATTTATTTAGTGGCAGGAGGGAGCATTGAATGAGTAGCATGTTACACCAGCTATATAATTACACATTAATAACACAGTGCTAGGACAACCCACTGACCTATTAAGCAGTCAATGTTCTACAAAGCAAGCCAAACCACGTAATTTATCACAATTACAGTTTCATACCATACACCTTCTCTATATGCTTTTTAAGAGAAACTTAAACCTAAGCAACAGGATAGAAGCAAAACATAGGGTATGTCAACCTGCAGAAGTATGACAGATAACACCTTTCAGAGACTACTATTCGCTTTAGTAAGCTACCATACCTAGAGTATGAGTTCTGCACAGGACAAACTAAAGCCATTAGATTACACAGCAGGTAATAGAGTACAGAGCTAGAAACAAGAGAGAGACTAGGGACACCAATTCAAGAGTATCGTGATCATTCCTGAGGTGCTCTCAGGCTTCCAGAACCAGAAATTCACAGAAAAGTTCAGAAAATGATTCAATCATCAGGTTTAAAAAAAAAAGGGGGGGCCGGGGGAAATATCAGCACACATACACATAGCAGTCACACTCACAACTGACACACAGTGTTGGGACCCACAGCTAATAAACAAAGAATGGCAAAAAAATTTTCAAAGGTTGCACACAGGGACAGAGAAGTTGATAATTAGTGCTGTGGAACTGTAGGAATAACCTCAACTCTGGTCTGTAAGCTAGAAAGACTTGAAAGGTTTTGTCATACTAATTCTTCAGTCAAACATCAATCTGCCTAAAGCAAAGAAAAATTAAGCTAATACGTACATACGCATGTACATACAACTAGTTCATATATATAAAAACAATTATAAAGCTGTATTACTACTCATCTTAGGAGAAAGCCAGAAAGAAGTAGCTACCCCTCCTGAAGGGAGGGCTGTCCCTCTGCACAACCCTGGACCAGTCACAGCTGCTCAGTGCTCCGGTTCCCTTATCATTGAAATAGGGATTACAAATACCACACCAGCCCACCTGGAAGGTGCAAGGCTAAATTCCCCTAATGCTTAAATCCCTGAAAACTCCCTCTTAGTTTAATACAAGAAAAACTAGAAAATAAGCCAATGTAGCATGCATTAAAAAGTCCTATCGTTAGTTCACACACTAACCCCACAGTTACAAACTGAAGTTTAAATTCAGCTTCCCCCAGTGACATATATGCTCTCACAATGCACCACAGCAGCTCATGGACTTTTCTGGCTCACATGCCAATACTGCTCAACTTTGCATCAAGACGAACACCAGCATCGCAGCATCAAGAAGTGCTGAAATGAGCTTCTTAAAAAGCTAAGCATAAAAGCCACAGGCGGGACTAGCATTAAGCAAATTATAAAAATGAAACAAGCACCACAAGCAGGATTTAAAACATAAAGAAATGGGCTAGTACCTATACCTGTCGCGCCTTCCATCTCGGGTGCTGCTGTAGCTGGTGCAGAGTTTGCTGAAGGAGACCAGCTTCAGGTCCAGCTCGTTCTCCAGCTGCCTCGCCTGCTTCCTGAGATCTGCACAGGGCAGCCGAGGGTGGGGGAGAAGTCACAAAACGGCAAGCGACCCCACGCCTTTGGGGGACGCGTTTTCACGAGGTGTTTTCAAGCAGAGCTGGCGCAGACCGCTCGGGAGACCCAGAGAGGGGAACCCCACAGAGAAAGGGGGGGACCGAAAACGGGCGCCCTCACAGAAGGGGGAGAACCCCACGCTGAAACGGGAGGGGCACAGCTAAACACACACAGGCCCTGTCCCACACGACCGGGAAGGTCCGGCGCGGGC